CCATGAGTCAGCATGCTGCTGAAAGGGATATAAATGCAAGTGGGATTTGAACTTACTACTAACAAAACATCACTGAAAGAAAGGGGCGTAATCATCATCATGATTATACTTTATGAGTCATGGGGACATGATACCACATTAGGGGACTGGATTTGGGAAGACAATCATGAATCTCGGAGTCAGCTGGAAGACGAGTGTGACAAAGGAGAAGGCAATTATAGCAAAAGGAGTGTGCTTTGCATTCCCTAGCATCTGGTCAGTTGCTCTGTTGCCTTCAAGTGTTTTGGAGTCCCCTGACAACTATAAATAAAATACTGAGCCTGCCACAGGAAGGGGAATTGTTAGGAAGAAATATATATTATTTGCAGACATGGACTAGTTAAGAGTTATGAAGCATCATAATTTAGTCTCACAAAAGGCATAGTCATAATTGATTCACTGGGTCTTTCTTCATGCAAGGGAAAAATAGTCCATTCAGTAACTGGGGTTCCTTTAAAACTTGTTTGAAATTAGTTAACTTTCCCCCTTCACACTTGTTAAAATATATAAATGGCAAGGGGTATCCTTTGCAAGAGGGCTCCTAGAGTATGCTGTTGGAACGTGTAACTTACAAACTTATCATTCCAGCATTAGCTTAAAGAAAAAACCTTTTAAAAGAGAGGGGAGGAGAGATAACACTTTGACATCGGCATTAAAGTATGCTACCCTTTCCACCTGCGTCTATAGTAGAAGCCACAAAACAGACACGCACTACTTAACATATTACTGACAGAATGATGAGAAAGGTCCTGTCAGGCACGGGCCAGCCGGGTGTTGGAGACAAAATGCACAGCCCCAGCTGACTAGTTAGAGAAAGTCTGGAGAGGTACAATTATAGAGGCATATGACAAGTCTTCATGCTTGACTGACTTGAGAACCGATGACATGGCATTAAACAGCAATCCTTCCTACCCAGCGGTCACAAAACAGCAATAAGTCAACTGATGCACTGTTGTAAAATCATGATTTATTCCTTTGCTTTGAATACACAAGTCTACAGCATGATGTTCTGGTAGACTACCGCAGCAGGTTCACTTGGGGCCCAAACATTGAGGGCCTGCCTACAGCAGGCATAAAATCAATGTTCTAGCACCGTCTTCCTGAAACAGCTTTCCACACTAGCTTAATAATGCATACAAGGACAGTATTTTTGAAAAGCTGCATTAAAAATATTCTCTCCCCAATGTCTGAGCAAGTATTGCATGAATGCAGTATGTCTACCTATGTATGGATGGGGTGATGTAGAAAAAAAAAGAACTAAATGACAGAGCAAATGCAAATGAAATACAGTGTTAACTTAAATTCGTGAAATGCAACTGTGTGTTCATTTAGGATTAAAATGCAGATAAGCTAATAATTGAAAGGTTGATCAATAGTGGAATGCCTTAGAAATAGCTTTTGTCCATGGAAAAATAGTCTGCCCCAAGCTGTACCCCAAACCTTTCTCTTTTTTCATCTACATAAATATCAAGTTATTTATTTTGATTAAACGACAGGAGGCAATTTAGTGCCATAATAATGCTAGATCTAAAGAATGGTGGTTCAGCTTTTCAAGCAATTTTGCATCCCCCACAAAAGAAGAATAAAGCGAGCTTGAATTATGTGTTTTGATATCAGTGCTACTGCCCTTAGATAATGAACCGAAACAGAACTGATAACTTGGAGGTGACATCACAGCTCAGTCTGCATGAACTGTCATAAACACTTGGTATTAAGGTAACCTCAAAGGATAAAGGACAACTCCCTTAACAATAGAAAGAATTTGATAATGCTATTTTCAGAAGAAAAGGGTTTCTGAAAAAAAAAGAAAAAAAGCAGAACTCTAAGATAAGACTTACTTGTTTACTGAGAAAATTATTCAAAATTTACTCTATCCAAGTGCTAACCATAAAAATTATAGCTTATGCACTCTTATTCAAATGAATAATGCTAAAAGCTTTATCTATTAACCCAAAATTACTGAATAATGTTTAATAAGAAATATAAAGCATTACTATGAATATAGTATATTTCAAAATGATGAGTACAATTTAGCTATAATTCCTGTTCAGTCTTACTATGCAGCCAACTAAGATTTGCCATATGAGAATGACACGGGACAATGATCCAGACCGAACAATCATATCTTAATAACCTAAAATATGAACAAGTCTTTTGCTTGCAAATGTTTGTTGCTCCTTTCTTGGTTGCCAATACACTGGGAAGTTCTAGTTTTCCATAATTTTCTCTTTTGCCTGAACTGTGAAACTATACTAACTATGCTAGTTTTGGTTTCAGAACAAGCGAAGATCCTAGACTAAATTCAGATCATGATTTACATAGTATCCTAGCTAGTTCCATTATGTTATAACCACAGTTCCTTGATTGAGCAAATTTTGGAAACTATGGTTACTAGGAGACTTCCTGTATGATTGCTCATGCCTGAGAGAGAAGCAAAGAAGCTGCATGCAAGAAAAAAGGTGCGTCCACATGTTACCTTTGTGAGTTGATAGCCGGTCACCCTAAAGCCGTACTAGCTGCATAAATTGGCTCGGCTCATGCATGTGGCTACCATTGACCTGGTTCATACCATGAGCTATGGTAGGATATGGAATGGGCTTTCAAGGGAGGTAGTTGAGGATGCTCAAGGAAAGATTGGGCAGCCACATGTTGGAGATTACATGAGTGGAGTTCTGCTCAGTGTCTGAGAAGGGACAGACTGTTCTCACACAGAGGAGGTGAGCAGGGCTCCCACCTGAAGTTCTGGTTAGCACTAGAATGTCCTGAATGCCTGCAGCAAAACAGGCATTGTGATACTTTGACACTTTTATGAAGCGGACTCTAGTCCTTGAAAACATATACCACAATAAACCTATTATCCTTTACATGTGAGAATAAGCTTCACAAGGTGAGCTGTACTCACTCTAAACCAGTGGTTTTTAAGCTTCCACAGCTGGGGACCAGTGGAAATAGGAAAATCACCTCATGGACCAATGAGACAGAAACAAAAAGCACCATACACATAATACAGTATTCTGTGTATTCGTTGGCAATCACAATACCAAAGAAAAAGGAGGAGAGGAGAGGAGAGGAGAGGAGAGGAGAGGAGAGGAGAGGAGAGGTCTCCAAAAACAACCAGAAGCTAAGCAAAAAAGAAAAAAGAAAAGAAAAGCCAACAAAAGAACAAAATACTGAAATTGGCACAGCGTGGCTCCCAGCTGGCTCCCATTGAACTGTCTCTCCAGTCCCTGCCCCCCTGGCAGCCACCCCTCCCCACAACAGACCAGCAGAAAATCTTCTGCAGACTGGCCCTGGTCCACAGACCAGTGGTTGAAAACCACTGTTTTGAACAAATTAATATGTGTTTTTTAACCTCCACCAGTTTATTTTCTTGGAACTCAATGTGTCATTTACACAACTTTCTCACCTACCTGCACACACAAAAGCCCTTATAGTACTCAAAGTTCAGAGTCTTTGGCTCATTTCCTGAGACCCGAGAATTGAAAACGGTTTCCTGTTCAGCTGACCAGTTGCACCATCAACAATAGATTGATGATTCTGTTCTGGCTTTTATGTGTTCAAATGTTCAAAGTCCTGCTCTGGTTAACAAAAAACACAAACCACAATTCTGCTTGGAATGAAGCTTCTCCATAGAGTTAACTAGGTAAACGCCATTTAAAGTAGACTGTGTTCAGGAAGGCAGCCCTAGTGAGCATATAGGTCAGACAACAATGGAAAACTGTTTTCTGCTTATGAAAAGTCTCTGAACTCTTTGCATAACATTGAGATGATATAAAATATTGTGTGGTGTGGTGTAAGCTGGGGGTAAGGGCTTTTCAAATGCCACTTAAACATTCATAAACCATTAAGCCTAACTTGGTTTTCCAAAGCTATGCTTTGTGAAGAACAATACCCTGGCTTAGGTCTGCACTCAGTTTGCACTCAATCCACAACAGGCAAAGTTTTGCCAAGCCAACTGAATAAGGAGAAAGCATCTTTCAATATCAAAGTCTTTTCTTTCCATCTCACATTCTCCACTAAATGAGGAAATTAGAATTCTTTCTGAAAATGGAGGCTTACTTACTTTTCAAAATATTTTCACCTATCTGCCATGCTTTCTGAACATGAACACGATCGTAAAGTAGATGGCTGCCATGATTAAAATCAAGCGTAAAGTACATTGAGCAAAGGAATTGAAGGTTATATAGTTCCATACTTAAGTTTAATGCACAACAGCATATGCATATACAAGGATACCCATTGGCTGGAAAGCAATATTACCTGAAATTTAAGCAGGATGGATTCAGGCTTATAAATTGCACCACATGGGAAAGGCTAAAACAAAAGGGACTGTCAAAAGATTCAGACATGGTTATAGTGGCTAAACATAGTGCTCTTTCTCTCAGCACCATCTGCAATGACATAAGATGGCCATTTCAGCAAAGGAAGAAGCATAAAACCTGTAATAAAAGGGCTATTTGGAATAGTAAGTTATTATCAACCTGAAGAGCTGCTCCAAACTCAGAGCTATTTCATTATATGCTCCCAAAACACTACTCTGCAACCAAGATGAATTTACCTATTACCAGGTTTAGGATAGCAGCTATTATCATGGCCCCTTGATTTCTTTCAAGTAGCTCCAGTGGAATAAGCCACAAGTGAATAATAAAGATCTTATAATAGCCCTTAAGAATTCTTTATAGAGTAGCAGGCACAGAAATGAACTCTAGAGAGTCAAAGAACACTCATCCCTGGATAACAAAAAATAATTAACCTGGCTTAATGTATCTGAGTAGAGCTTATATGAATCAGACTTTTGTGCTTCAAGAGTCAGATTAAAACCATTTTTTTTTTTAAAAAAAGGTATGTAGATATTGTCTCCTAAGTACATACAGGATGTATTTAAATCTGCAGACGTCTGCACGCCTTTTTGTGAAATGTTCAATGCAGCCTACTTGAAAGGAGACGTGTGAAGTACTCACAGTGCTTAGTTTGCTTGAGGTAATAATGATGCGTCTCTCGTGCAACATACTGGCATAAAGTTGCAGCATGTTGTTCACATCCACAGCAACAAAATATTCAGTAAGATTTCTCTGTTTAACAAAGAATAAAGTCTGTTAACACATTAATAGTGGTAACTGAGCGGTGCATAAACTTTTAACTATCTCCTTCTTCCAAGCAGAAAAGGGGACAAGAGGCAGGGATGAGCTTGTTAAAGAACTAAGCCTGCACAATCAGAATCTTTAACCGAAATTCATCACCTCATTATCAGATACAACATGAACTGGTTATGTTTTGGGATATTTTGGGCAAGGCTGCCCTCCCTTACCAGTTTTTCTTTGCAGTTTTGCTTATTAAACACAGACACTTCTTAAAAGTTCCACTTGCATGTACACACAAAAGCACTGGCAACGGATGATATTAACTCCCGGTTTTTTAATGGCATATATTTATACACTCACATATGCAAATTCCCCAGCATCATGGAGTTAAAACTTAATCTGCAGGGCATGAGTGCAGGAACTTCAGACTGGAACTCCCCCAGTTCCATGCCTCTTCTCTCTGAGCACATCATGTTTCCTGACACTTGTGCCATTTTTACCCCAATGCTGCTATTCTGAAAGGTCAAAATGTTTCTCTTAAAGTTTCATCACTGGCATCCAGATGAAATGCACTGGTATTTTGGACTCTGCCCCTTTTGCTTTTGAACCCACTCCCTTGCCTTTGGCCCAAGCCTCCACTGGAATGTGGTTCCCCAAAGCTTCTCTGGAATGGAATTCACCCAGTTGGCTGAAAGAAGTTTGACATTGCTCCTGTAGAGTGTATGCATTTCGTGGATATTAGTGAAATGGTTTAATGGCCCAAACAAGATATCACAAGCACCCCCAAAACTTACACTTTCTGGTACTGTTGGCAATCCAGTTATATCGGGAGTTATGAAATATGAATGCTAATCAAAGAAGAAAAGACATAACACAAAATCAATGTCCAAGAACAGGAAAACCAGCTTTCTTATTTCTTTATTTAACTCAATATTTGGTTTTGCTGCAAGAGGGCATATTAACAGTAAAGCAAGCAGGAGCACCGAATAACTTGATTCAAAGAGCACATGCTGAAGTACCCATTTGAAAAAAAAATAATAAATTGGCTAAAATCATGCCATTTTGCCAATTCAAAGAATGAAAACAACAACATACATTTTGTGCATTATCAGTGTGACAGAGTGCATGATAAGGCTCTTTTGAACAGGAAAGAAGAAAAGTAATCACATGAACAGCTTGAAGGAATACAGAAGAAACTGGGCATCTTTTCAACTTCCTCTACAGCCACCACTATCCTACTCAGGAACTAGTTTTATATGAGATCCACTGTGAGGAAGGGATGAAGGCAGATGCCACCCAATTCACAAGGAGTGTTGCCAATAAATCTGGTACTTACAGTCACCATTCCCTTCTTATATCTCTCTTGTCTCTGTGTCAGCAACTTTGCAGTCTTGTGGTTAGTTTGGGATTTGGAGCTACCAGTTGCTGACACTTACAGTAAGTACAAGGCTCATACCATAAAAATGTTTTCTGAATATTTTTCCAAGCAAGAGAATGTTCCCCCGCAATACTTCACAGAAAATGTGATTTAAGAAAGTCATATATGCATATTTTAATCTAATCCACGGAAGGTGATAAAATTACTCTGTAATACAAACATTTTTTTCTTGTTCCAGCATTGATCAAAACAGATAATTCCCACATACATTTGAGAAATAATTAATGGACTTCTATTCTGCTCAAATATAGTTCCTATGATGTATTTCGTTGAAGCAGTTAATTCTATTGCCCCTTCCTTTTAAGCAGATATTCTCAAACTTTGTCACTGTGACTTCTCCAGGGTGAGCAAGTAACTTTTGAGTCCACTCAAAGGACATGTGCACTTGGCCAAGGAAGCCAACATTTGTTCTTAATCAGAGAGGAAACAAGAGAAAGAAGAAAGAATCTAAAGGCCTTAAATGTGGTAAGCATCCAAGAATTCACACCAAAGAAAGGGAAGGAACCATGAAAAATTAAGGAAACGTTCACTATCCATAAAGACAATGTGTACTTTACAGTAAACAATCCATTCTTCAGTTTGGGGGATTATTGATATGGTAGAAATCATTTGAGATAAATGTATTATTCCATTTTTATCAAGAAAACATGAAAGATTAGCAAGCGGGCTGGTTGCAGTTTCCACTTAAGAGTGTGCGAACTACAGGTAATGTAGGTGATAGAGATTATCTTTTCCATTCTTCTCAGTCACCAGCTGTGAATTTTCATCAGCTGACGAACTGTTCTGCTTCTGTTGATGGAGGATGTGGAAGAAGAATGGTCAAAACTGCATCCCAAAATAATCTTACTTATCCGGCAGCTGTACTTTCAGGTCTGCACAATTTACAGCACAATACTATACTGTGGGCTACTGAGAAGTCCCACAAGTTAATGCAGTTTATCCCTAACAATTGTAACAATTTCCACCTCAGGGTAGCATCCAATGGCTTCCACCAGCAGGACTGAAAACACATCAGTAGAACTGCCTTCTGTGACCTTTGTGCACCAGCCCCGTTTCAGAAATGAGGGATTCTAGATTACTTTTATAACCACTCAAGGTCTGTCACCCACCACATGGATGCAATAAGACACTGCCCTCAAATTAAACTCAGACCCTAGGAGGGAACACACTATAGAGAATGGAAAGCTACTGGCTGCCCCACTACTTGTGAATGAAATATTGTCAGGGTTCAGAAACAGTAATGAGATATAGAACGCCGCATTTTTCGTGCACCAAGAAAAATACTGAAGGTATGAGAATGACCAAATCAATGGAACCAAGAGAAGTATAAACCCCAAGATTGTATGGAGCCAAGAAGCCAAGAACATATCCCAAATTTTAGAAAATATTTTCTGTTTATACCGTTCTTAGTTTAAAATGGTATGTCTAGCTTTTGACAAAGGAGGAAGAGCAAATGGCTCAAGTCTTTCTCATTTATTCAACATGTTACAGTCTTCTTCATGAATATTTACAAACAGAAAGCAACACTTGTAGCAGTGATGCTTACAATAAAAAGTCTATCAGACTAACTTCACATATTTATCCCAAGAAGTTATCACAGTGCCTTTGGATTTTATTTTACCACTCACTTTGCACCTTTTAGCATTTTTTGTAACTCTAGATTATTTCCTGTTGCCACAACTTTTCTCTTGGCATGCAGCCCTTCTTTTTCAGTTTGGTAGCTAATTATTTTGGCAAATATTTTCAGAGAGATGTACTCAGTTGTTTAAAAGCGAGATATTCAACTCTGCTGAGCGGTTATAATGAAAACAGCAGTATCAGTGAAGATGTGATGTTCAGGCATTGCTCACATGCTGCCAGCAGGGCCATGTGTAAATATATTCAGCGAAAATAATACATTTGTTAATCCTATTCTGCAGAGAGGTCTTCTCAGAAATACTTAAGCAAGTGAAACAGATAAAAATCTAGTCTTCTCTCCCCCACCCCTCTCTCTGTGTGTGTGTGAGAGAGGGAGAGACCAACCAGAAAGCTGCAAGAATAAGCTATTGTCACTCTGTTAAATGTTAAGAGGATCTTTAGTACACAATTTGCACATAGAGTTCCAAATCTGGTTTAGTCTAAACAGAAAATATATTCAAGAAGATTGCCTCCTTCAGACCAGAGCTGCAACAGAATAATTTCTCAGGGGACATTTATGAATCACTTGCAATCAAAGGAGACATCATTTGGCAAGCAATTATTTCTTTCAAGAGAAGCTGTGAGTGGCCAGAGCATTTTAAACTCACCGCTGTTAAATATGGTTGATTTTCCAAAACTTGTTGGCTTGTAAAAACCACCTTGTTGTTCTTTTTCCAGTATGAGGAAGAAAATTGAACAAATTCATTTTTGGAAAACAAAGGTTTGGATTTAACTTGTAAAGCAGCTGCTTTCTGGAATAATTCGTCTCCATTCTCTTTGATGCAGGATTTTTTTTTCCAAAAGGAAAAAATACAGTAACTTTATCAATTTACCTTTTTATTTTCAAACGAACAATAGATTTTTTTTCCAGCAGAAAAAACATTGTGAATGCCAAAGGAGAATATATCAGAACATCAGATGGAAAAACAAAGTACTGATGTTGGCATACATTAAGGGAAATGTCTGGTATCCTTTCTTTATACGCAGAATTTTATCGAGAACCATTATGCTATTGGTTCTGATGGACTTGTGCCAGAGAAACAATAAAAAATATTTTGAAACAGAGGTCTAACCCTTGAGCACAAGTCATCGTACACCTGCTGTCAGAGATCACCCCGCTGAAATAGGCAAGAGGTTTCCAAGAATAAAAATACCAAAACAATGAAGCAAGAAGCTCCAAAGATGGATTAGATCAGTATCATATGAGCTAGCTTGATGGAGAGAGCTAAGCCTCTGTTTTGAAGCCAGAACTGGAAGTCATGCTCAGGTGGATCCCAGCAACTGTAGCTGGAACTCACGGCATTAAACTAGTTTTAATTATTCAGAAGTGTGACTCCTTCCAAAAGAAAACAAAAACTGAACCCCCCTTGACTTATGAACCCGAATTAGGCCAGTCTCTTAAGCATGCATTCTATTCCTCTTGAAATTCAAGGCTTTCTCAAAGTATGAGTACTCACACTCACCTGGATTAATCAGCATTCAGTAATTGTTCCGATAAAGAGATGCAATTGTAAACTAGACTCTCCCCTGTAGGAAGGCTCAAGGCCTATTGTGCAAAACTGTATTTAGGCTGCACCTTAGCTAATGGAAGATGTGTCTTTTTCTGTCTTAAAATAGTCAAAGGCTCTCTTGCTCCTCTTGTTTGTGACTGCAATACAGGCTTCAGGAGGTTCCTGCATAGGATCTTCAAATCTGATTCAGGCTGGAGTCTGAGAAACATGCACCAATAAGCCAAGCTCAAGGCTACCAAGCCTCACGCGCACACAGGTGGAGCACGCGGTTGAAATAAAGGCAGATTCTTACAATGACCTTAAGCCTAATGAAATGGTCCATAACAGTAGCTTATGTGCACTCTTTAATAAATGGAAGGAACATCCACAAATATTGATTTAAGAAGACCAAAGAGGAGTTTGCAATTCCCCCAGTAAATACCTGAAAGTTTTTCGGGAGATTCAGAAACATGAGAATATATATGACTCCTTAACACTGCACCAAGCTCACTGACTATTTCAGAGTCAGTTCAAAGAACCACATTTGTTGCTGCTATTTGGTTATAAATAGGTATTTCTATGATAAAGGCAATACCTACCAAATTTAAGCTGATAGGAGTGTTTGCCTCAGGTACAGGATGGCTATACCAGTTTTCCAGCAAATCATTCAAGTCTTCTTCCTGTACAGAATAAGAATTTTAAAATGTGTTCAGTAGCCATATAAGCATCAATCATGTTCACTATGTGTCAGCAGATCAAATAGCACACTGTTACTTCCCTCTCCTACTTTCTATTGCAGACATGGAAAATCCCCCAATTTATCAGAGAAAATGTGACAGCCATAGTCCTTCATGTGTGAATCAGAACTCTATGGATCAGGGCCACTGGGTTTTAGCAAAAAGACTTAACAAATTAACATATGTGAATATATGAAGATGTTTTATAAAGCAATAAAAATATATGAAATCAGCTAGTTAAAGCATGGTACAAATTATCTTACAAATTATCACCTTTGCTTGGATTTATATTACATGCCATCATTTTTCCCTAACTGAACATTTGAAACCCCCAATATGTTATGGTTTCCCAGTTTGTATGCCAAAACAATCAAGTTTGAAAAAGGTTTCATAAATATAGAATTTAACAAGCTATGTTCAGATACATAAATTGCAACATAACATCACAGGCTAATCTTAATATTGAGAATTGTACATTTGTCTGTACAAAGATAAAAAGTCTAAGCAATAAGAAATAATACTGGCAGTTGATAACACAAGATTTAAAAAAAGCCTCCTGCTGTTCCATTGTGAAGATATATTCTAAGATCCATTCATTATAATTAAGCTGCTCCAAGGGGAAATTAGGAAACAAATTCTTTTTCATATCAACCAAATTATGGCCACAGAAGTGGTATTACATTTTATGTTTTGGAGAAATGCTAAAGATGTATTGGGAAATGTTTTTACACTGTAAACAGAGACACACAGTTGCTTTTTATTCCAGTTAATTCTTCATAATATGCTGAATAAGTATACTCTTTCAATATACAATATGATATTTTGAAAATAACTGATACATTATCATGTAGCGTAATGTCTCACATTATGCATGTGAGACTGGGATTATTATGTGTTTATTGCTGGGACAGAATTGGGTGTGGACAAAATGAAAGAAAACTGACCCATAAAGGGAATACTGGAAGACCCATTCAAGAGGGAGAAGCAACTTTATTTCTTAAATCAGGATGAGCCTGATTCCCCATCTGCCCCTCTCTTCTGTTGGCTTTATATTACCAGCAGCATCAACAGCTTCCAGGATGACAACAATCATAGAGGGTAAGGGTTGCATGTGAGCACTAAACTCTACCACCCTGTTCACTATGGAGCAAACTCAGGAGCAGGAAAACATAATCTGCACATAACAAGCCCTTGCCTATGTATGCACACATCCATATGGACTTGGTGCATGTGTTCGTGTCATGGACTCTCCAAGAAAAAGAGCCGATTTACTCTTTGCTCTTACTTATTCCCTAGGTGTCAGTGAATGATACAACTCCGAGTACTGATTTTATGTGTGATAAATATGGATTTAAGCTCTGTTTTGCTAAAGAAATCTTAAATCAGCCTTTTCTTTGTTTTGCTTCTAGGGTAGTTTAACACATATCATTTTCTCTCCTGGAACAATGTTTATGAGACATTAAAATTATGCTGAAGAAAAGTCATCCAAGTCAAAAAGAAAAGGTATGTATGAACCCATTCTGTCTTTTATTTATCCCCGCACCCCGCTATTCATATGCTGTTTTTCAGGGCAAAAACCTTCCAAGGGAGCTCACTTTAATAGAATGACTATCTAAATAACTAATTAAATAGCTATCAATTAAAAGTTAAAACCACAAGAGGAAACAAAAGAATTTCTTTACCATTACAAAGCTAAAGGCAGGTCTAAAATCTCTAAATAGCTCCACAGTCCAGATAAAACATATTAAAATGACAAACAGAAAGGCAATTAAACAATTTGACACCCGGTCTGATACCTTAGTTAAAAGCACACTGAAGCAAAAAGGGCTTTAAAGCCCCTTTAAGAGCTAAAGATAGGGACATTCCCTAGAAGAGAGTTCCTTAAATATGGGATCACCACTGAAAAGGCCTGCCTCTCATATTGCCAGTTTTTAAGACCTTGATTGTGATCTATCCCTGAAGCTGATCTTAAGATCTTGTGAACTTTGTACTAGTGCAGGCAATCCTTCACATAGTTGGTCTCTAGGGCTTTTAAGGTCAACACCAGAATTTAGATCTAAAATGTTAAATAAGCCGGGGAGAAGCAGGCAACCAGTGTAGGTCTTGTTCACATGTCTCCAGACTGGGTATGAGAAGGTGAGGAAAGGTCCCTCCCTTACAAAACTATGCCCAGGTTATCCATTGGCAGCTACTGTTGTGTTTTGTAAAGTCATGAAATCCAGCTGACTTATTCCCCACTCATTAGCATTAGGGGTCTGCAAAGCCATCTCTAGAATTGTGGCAATTGTGTACATTTGATAGGTGCTTTGGTTGGGGAGTTGTGAGCTGCGCAGGGTTGGGGTACACTGAAGAACTGAATCGATGCCAAATCTTCCATAGCAATAAAAAGAGCACTGTATCATAGAATTTATTTTCTTATATGCCAGAAACTTGTAGCAAAAACATGGAAATCTCAGAGCCAATTTCCAACTTCGTGAACACATGTTCATTTTTCTCATGTGTGATGCCTTACATTGCACATTCATAGTACTTGCAAAGTGCTAACCATATAGAAACTCCCACGAGCGCGCTCAACACATCTTTGTTACAAGAGTCAATTCATATGGGACATTCTTCTACCGTGGGAGTGCTCTGGAATGTGGTCCATGGAAAAGAACTCTGGCAAACACTGCCGAAAATCCACATAGATTTTATAGAATATATAGAATCCCACATGGATTTGTTAGTCTGAAGTTTCAACTGCACATGGATGCCTAAACAGGAATTAAACCAAATCATTGTCAGGTAAGAAAATAATTTCACTGGAACTAGATTTCAGTTTTTGAATGAAAGATAAGTAATACTGATTTTTCTGATGAGAAAGACATCCTAGTTATATTGTAAAAATGATTTTTTTTAATTGAGGCAACTTAAAATGCAAATCCCCCCAAAAATCCAGATGTACCTACTGTGGTGGTGGAAGAGGGGGTGAACAGCGGGCTATTAAGCTGGCCAACACAGCTCTGACCTGGAGAAAGACCTGGCAACCTACTCCAGATTCTTTTTGCCAAAAATCTCTATGCATAGACTCAAAGATACAAAAGATACGGTACCAAGCAGTGAGTCTCCCAGGCTGGAGAACATCACTGAAGCTATAGGGAAGCTAAGAAGTCCTAGATTAAGCCTCAGCAAAAAATATCACTCAAAACTAAGATCACCAAACAAAGACTGTCATGCTTTGGCCATGTCATGAATGCTGACTCATTGGAAAAGTCCGTCTGGCTGGGAATGATGAGCAGGAAAAGGAGAAGGGGCTGACCCAGCACCTGCTGGCTGGACAGCATAGAGGAGGACATGGTGGACTTGAAGGAGGCAGTGAAGACATGGAGTGCAATAATCCAGTGGCCAAGGGTCAGACATGGACTAAATGGCTGACAACGACGGATAAGCATAACTGAGGAGGAGCCTGACTGGAGGGTTCAAGAGATCCAATAGGCCATTGAGGCCATTCCCCTTTCATACCTAATGCATTCATTCCAATGTAAACAATTCAAGACTAGAATTCTCAGAAATAGTGAGCTAGTCGAGAATTGAAGCAATGGCTCTAACTACTGCAGCACAGAACAAGCATTCATTCTACAGGTCAGAAGAGGAGAGAGGCTTTTCTGGAAGCACCATTTGCAAACACATGCTGAATACGTTACTACTCTTGTCCACAGAACAATGGCTGACTAAAGAATTCCCCATTGGACTGCTGTTTGCAAGCTGTCCTGTTGAGCTAATTCCACCCATATGCAGTAGGTAAGGAGGAGGAAGAATAAGAACAGGAGGGAAAACCACCCCAAAAAACTGAAAAGAGAGAAAGTCCCCAACATGCTGAATTATGGAAGATGTTCTTGTGCCGAAGTGGGAGCACCTGAAACCGAGTGATCTTCATCCAGGTGGATAATGCCACTCTTCCCCTAAACCTGGTACTTCTCACCTGAAATGAGCACCTAAGTAGGTAAGGTTGGCTGGAAGAGATGAAACAACCTACACCTTCTCCTCAGCTGAAAATCAAGTGCAACAACACACAACACACGTCGTGGTATTCACGACGGGGCAGGAAGAGGATGACCTGAGGGTGAGGAACTTATGTTTGACTCCCCTGTCATGGTCAGATCACCTCCTGGTGAGGTTTGTGCTCGAGAGCGGCCTCTCCCTCTATAAGAGTGCAGACCCAGTTGTATGGGCCCGCCCCCGGAGCCGGATGGATCCGGATGGATTCCTGAAGGCCCTGGGGGAGTTTCCGGCTGACAAGACTGGTGCTCCTGTCGAGGCTCTGGTAGAACTGTGGAACGGAGAGATGACCAGGGCTGTGGACACGATCGCTCCCAAGCGTCCTCTCCCACCGGGCAGAGTCCGCTCTTCCCCTTGGTATACACCTGAATTGCGGGCGATGAAGCGAGTTGGGAGACGGCTAGAGCGTAGGTGGAGGAAGTCACGGAATGAATCTGACCGAACACACTTGAGAGCCCACTATCGGGCCTATGCTGTGGCGGTGAAGGCGGCGAAAAAGAAGTTTTTTTCCGCTTCCATTGCCTCCTCACAATGCCGTCCGGCGGAGCTTTTTCAAGTGGTGCAAGGCCTGGTTCGCCCGGGTCCTAAGGAAGATCCAATGCCACCCTCAAAGGCCCGCTGTGACGACTTTGCCAGGCATTTCAGGGAGAAAATCGCTCAGATTCGTCACGAGCTGGACTCCACTAATGAATCAGAGGTCTCTGAGGAGTCGCCAATGCCACCGTCTGGTCCAAAATTACTGGAGGAATTTCAATTATTGCGGCCCGATGATGTGGACAAGGTGCTTGGACGAGTACGTCCCACCACTTGCCTATTGGATCCTTGCCCATCTTGGTTAATAAATAACTCCAAGCACGGGATTGTGACCTGGATCTTGGAAGTGGTTAACGCTTCTCTGAGGGAGGGTCGAGTGCCTGCCCCTTTAAAGGAGGCGGTAATACGACCGGTCCTGAAGAAAGCGTCACTGGATCCAGAGATGGCCACTAACTATAGACCTGTGGCCAACATCCCGTTTCTGGGCAAGGTGTTGGAGCGAGCGGTGGCGGGACAACTCCAAGCACTCTTGGATGAAACTGATTATCTGGATCCTTTTCAGTCTGGCTTCAGACCCGGGTACAGTACTGAATCTGCCTTGGTCGCCCTGTACGATGACCTGTGCAGGGAGAAGGACAGGGGAAGTACATCCCTGTTGGTTCTTCTGGACCTCTCGGCGGCTTTCGATACCATCGACCATGGTATCCTTCTGGATAGACTTGCGGGATTGGGGGTTGGAGGCACTGCTCTGCAGTGGTTCCACTCCTATCTCAACGGTCGATTCCAGAAGGTAGTGCTGGGGGACCATGTCTCTACGTCATGGCAGCTATGCCATGGGGTACCACAGGGCTCCATTCTATCCCCTCTGCTATTTAACATCTATATGAAACCGCTGGGAGAGGTCATCAGGAGGTGTGGGCTGCGGAATCATCAATACGCTGATGATACCCAGCTTTACCTCTCGTTCTCCACTAATCCAGGTGAGGCAGTGGCTGTGCTGAACCGGTGCTTGGCCGAGGTAAGGGAATGGATGAGGGCCAATAAACTGAAACTCAACCCAGACAAGACGGAGGTCCTGTTGGTTGGCGGATCGGGTTTCGGAGAGGGTGGATTTGACCTGGTCCTGAATGGTGCAACACTCCCTCTTAGGGATAAGGTCCGCAGCTTAGGAGTACTCCTCGACCCAGAGCTTTCTTTGGAAGCTCAGGTGACAGCGGTGGCGAGGAATGCCTTCCTTCAGCTTCGGCTGATTAATCAGCTGCGCCCCTACCTGGAGTACGACTGCCTGGCGACGGTGACACACGCGCTGGTGACTTCCCGCCTAGACTTCTGTAACGCGCTTTACGTGGGGCTTCCCCTGAAGACAGTCCGAACACTTCAATTGGTGCAAAATAGAGCTGCCAGGTTGCTGACGGGGACGGGGCGTTATGCTCACATGACTCCAGTCCTCCGTCAGCTTCACTGGCTTCCCATTGAAGCCCGGGCCCAATTCAAGGTGTTGGTGATGACCTATAAAGCCCTAAACGGCTTGGGTCCTGGCTACCTGAACGAGCGCTTACGTCCGTATATGCCCGACCGCCCTTTGAGATCTGCGGGAGAGTCCCTTCTCCGGGAACCCTCCATGAAAGAAATTAGGAGAGTAAGTACTCGGAGGAGGGCTTTCTCTGCGGTGGCACCCAACCTATGGAATTCACTCCCCAAAGAGGTCCGCCTGGCACCGTCGTTACTGGTTTTTCGGCGCCAGGTAAAGACCTTTTTATTTAAACATCATTTGAATTGTTAAAACATATGATCTGGCCAGGGCAACTTCTTCTTCCTTCTCTTTCTCCTCCTATATTTTTATTTACTTAAGTTATACTGATAATTTTAATCTTATATTTGTAAACCAATGTATTTTTTGTACTTTGTATTTAATGGTAATTTATTATGTGCTATTGTATTTCATTGTATTTTATCGTGTTGTAAGCCGCCCCGAGGTTTCGGCAAGGAAATGTTATAATATATAATATATATAGAAATGTTATAATAACAACAACAACAACAACAACAACAACAACAACAACAACCTAAAAGCTAAGACACTATTTGTAAGAGCAGTTAAAATGTTGCGTGTTAAGGGATTGTACTGCAGTCATTAAGTGTTTTGTAATACTTTTAACAGGTTGATGCTTGGCATTTCTTCTATACAAGTACATTTAATGAAAAGTTATAGAAACATAAAATTACCTGTTCTTTAGCCAAATAATCTGCCAGTGTATTTAAAAGTTTGTAGTACACCTCGAACCATGGTAAGTAGCTGAAAAGAGAAACAAAGCCATTTTAGAAACAGGCTACAACATTAAAAAGAAAAGTGTTACATGAAAGAGTTTTCACCGTATTGCAATTTTTGAAAGATTCGAAGCTAGGTTGATAGTATAAGTCTTGTTCTGAGCACCTCACAAGAAAAATGTTATTGATTTGGTCCTGCAAACACTTTGAACATCAGGAAAAGGTCTGTAGGTACCAGATCTGGGGAAGCTTATGTCATACTTCAAAACCAGTCAGTACAGATAGTCCCAAATTACAAAGACCTCTGATCTGACTAGTGCATTGTACTCACGCACAAAAAATAAAATGTTCATTGAAGCTGGACAGGACAGAATTTAGACGCAGCTGGATGTGTTCAGATGTAAACCAAAACTGGAAAAGGATTAGACTAAATGCTGCTATTGGGCAGCAGAGAACAGAAAAATTAAATGGCTTCTCTCCCTAGGTAACAACACATCTCTACCTTTCCTGCAAAGAGCAGCACTTCTTGCTCCATCTAGCTATAAACATGCTAAAATGAATATTGATTATATAACAGGAGTTCACATTTCTCTTTCTCTCTCTCTTTCTTGCATTTTTAAAAGGTATTTGTTGAACTGAATCTGTTCTTTGGATCAAGATTTCTTATGAACAAATAATTCACATCTACCCTCTGGATGTTTAATGCATGTTTGATGAAGCTAATAGACTGATAAAAGCATTAAATGAAATTGACACGGTGTTACTAGTTTTTGTTAACAGATTCTTAAAAGTGAAAAAAAAGAAAAAACTGATGCCAACAAATATTCATTGAAGAGTGTTTAGTTCCCTATAAAAGGCAGAGATTGCTGGGAAAAGATATACTGACCTGGTTCACACGCATGACAAGCCATAACAGTAGTCACAGTGGCTTGTCATTCCATCTGAACACAGACTCCCTCCTGCAGGGTAACTTATTTTTCAGCAACAAAATAGAAACACAGAAACACAGAAACACAGAAACAGAGCGAGTCAGAAGGGGCCTCCTAGGCCATCTAGTCCGACCCCCGGCTCCAGCCAGCTCCACTCACAACATGCCCACCATGGGCATGTCCAGCCTATCTTTGAACACCCTCACTGATGGGGCCTCAACCACCTCCCATGGAAGCCCATTTCACACCCTCGGGGTTCTGACTGTCAGGAAGTGCTTCCTGGCATCTAAATGGAACCTTGATTCCCTGAGCTTTGCTCCATTGGAACGCGTCCTGCCTTCCTCTGCAGGGGAGAACAGGTCTGTATCCACCTCCATGTAACACCAACTGCGCCCGGCAGCTTACGCCGGAGGAGGGCCGCCTCCTCGCTGTGTAAGACCGCGCCGCGCCGGAGGGGAGCCGCTGCCTGGCCGCGTAAGACCGCGCCGCCATCCACCGCCCACTTGGCTGCTCCGCCACGCCCCAGCACGTGTGGCAGGCGTGCTCCGGACGAGGCGGGGGACGCAGGGCCGGCGGCTACAAAGCCCGCGGGAGGAGCGCGCCACCAGCAACACCTACTGCGCCCGGCAGCCTACGCCGGAGGAGGGCCGCCTCCTCGCTGTGTAAGACCGCGCCGCGCCGGAGGGGAGCCGCTGCCTGGCCGCGTAAGACCGCGCCGCCATCCACCGCCCACTTGGCTGCTCCGCCACGCCCCAGCACGTGTGGCAGGCGTGCTCCGGACGAGGCGGGGGACGCAGGGCCAGCGGCTACAAAGGGCGTCGGCCAAAGGACGGTCGCCACCGTTCGGGTGGCCGAGCAGGGGGCGGGGCTGGCCAGGGGCTTGCGGTTGGCGATGGTAGGCCCTCCTGCTGGGCTGTGAGTGAGGGGTGAGTGTGTGTGTGTGTGTGTGTGTGTTTTTAGTAGTATTTTAAATCTTTTTATGGAGTCGTCCCTGGCCATGCTGCCGCTTATGTTTCCTGGGGAGCGCACGGGTGCCGCCATTGAGGTGGTTATGGGCAGGGGACGTAACAGCGTTGGGAGCTTAACGTGTCCGCATAGAAGAAGGAGGGACAGATGGCTGACACCTGTCCCTACTTCTGGTTTTGCTCCCAGCCAGAGGGTGCCAGGGAGTCTCGTCAGTCGCCCCTCCAGCCTGACGGTGCTGTTGCTTAATGCCAGGTCGGTCAATAACAAATCTGCCCTCATCCAGGACCTGATTGTGGATGAGGGGGCCGACCTGGTCTGCATAACGGAGACCTGGGCGGGAGGGGGGGGGGATGTTGCCCTCTCCCAAGTGTGCCCGCCCGGGTATCTGGTCCAGCACTGCTCACGGCTGGAGGGGAGGGGAGGGGGGGTCGCTTTGGTATACCGAGCCTCCATCTCCCTCACGGGACTTCCGGTCCCTTCGAGACCAGGGCTGGAGTGTCTCTATTTGGTGTTGGGCGACCGAGACAGACTGGGGATTCTGTTGGTGTACCGCGCACCCTTCTGCCCAACAGTCTCCCTGCCTGAGCTGACGGAGACTGTCTCGGACCTGGTGTTGAGGACCCCCAGGATGTTGGTCCTGGGGGGCTTCAATCTCCATGCCGAGGCTAGTCTGACCGGGGCGGCTCAGGACTTCATGGCCTCCATGACGGCCATGGGGCTGTCTCAACATGTCACCGGCCCCACCCATGAACGGGGACACACTCTGGACCTGGTTTTCTCGACGGGGCAGGAAGAGGGTGGTCTGAGGGTGAGTAATTTATGCTTGACTCCCCTGTCATGGTCAGATCACTTCCTGGTGAGGTTTATGCTCGAGAGCGACTTCTCCCTCTGTAAGGGTGCGGACCCGATTATGTGGGTCCGCCCCCGGAGCCGGATGGATCCAGAAGGATTCCTGAAGGCCCTGGGGGAGTTTCCGGCTGACAAGACGGGTGCTCCTGTCGAGGCTCTGGTCGAACTGTGGAATGGGGAGATGACCAGGGCTGTAGACACGATCGCTCCTAAGCGTCCTCTCCCACCGGGCAGAGCCCGCTCTTCCCCTTGGTATACTCCTGAATTGAGGGCGATGAAGCAGGTTGGGAGACGACTAGAGCGTAGGTGGAGGAAATCACGAGATGAATCTGACCGAACACACTTAAGAGCCCACTATCGGGCCTATGCTGTGGCGGTGAGGGCGGCAAAAAAGAGATTCTTTTCCGCTTCCATTGCCTCCTCACAATGCCGTCCGGCGGAGCTCTTTCGAGTGGTGCAAGGCCTGGTCCGTCCAGGTCCAAAGGAAGACCTGATTCCACCCTCAAAGACCCGCTGTGACGACTTTGCCAGGCATTTCAGGGAGAAAATCGCTCAGATTCGTCACGAGCTGGACACCACTATTGATTCAGAGGTTTCAAAGGAGACACCAATGCTGCCGTCTGGTCCAGATTTATTGGATGAATTTCAGTTATTGCGGCCCGATGATGTGGACAAGGTGCTTGGGCGAGTACGTCCAACCACTTGCCTTTTGGACCCTTGCCCGTCTTGGTTAATAAATGATTCCAAGCACGGGATTGGAACCTGGATCTTGGAAGTGGTTAACGCTTCTCTGAGGGAGGGTCGGGTGCCGGCCCCTTTGAAGGAGGCGGTAATACGACCGGTCCTGAAGAAAGCGTCACTGGATCCAGAGATGGCCACTAACTATAGACCTGTGGCCAACATCCCGTTTCTGGGCAAGGTGTTGGAGCGAGCGGTGGCGGGACAACTCCAAGCACTCTTGGATGAAACTGATTATCTGGATCCTTTTCAGTCTGGCTTCAGATCCGGGTACGGTACTGAATCTGCCTTGGTCGCCCTGTATGATGACCTGTGCAGGGAGAAGGACAGGGGGAGTGCGTCCCTGTTGGTTCTGCTGGACCTCTCAGCAGCTTTCGATACCATCGACCATGGTATCCTTCTGGATAGGCTTGCGGGATTGGGGGTTGGAGGCACTGCTTTGCAGTGGTTCCGCTCCTATCTCAATGGCCGGTTCCAGAAGGTGGTGCTGGGGGACTATGGCTCTGCGCCATGGCAGCTATGCCATGGAGTACCGCAGGGGTCCATTTTGTCCCCTTTGCTGTTCAACATATACATGAAACCGCTGGGAGAGGTCATCAGGAGGTGTGGGCTGCGGAACCATCAGTACGCTGATGATACCCAGCTCTACCTCTCGTTTTCCACCAATCCAGGTGAGGCAGTGGCTGTGCTGAACCGGTGTCTGGCCGAGGTAATGGGCTGGATGAGGGCCAATAAACTGAAGCTCAATCCAGACAAGACGGAGGTCCTGTTGGTTGGTGGATCGGGCTTCGGAGAGGGTGAATTGAACCTTGTCCTGAATGGGGTTGCACTCCCTCTTAGGGACAAGGTCCGCAGCTTGGGAGTGCTCCTCGACCCAGAGCTTTCACTGGAAGCTCAGGTAACAGCAGTGGCGAGGAGTGCTTTCCTCCAGCTTCGGCTAATTCATCAGCTGCGCCCCTATCTGGAGAATGACTGCCTTGCGACAGTGACACATGCGTTGGTGACTTCCCGTTTGGACTTCTGCAATGCGCTCTACGTGGGGCTACCCTTGAAGACGGTCCGGATACTTCAATTGGTCCAAAATAGAGCTGCCAGGCTGCTGACGGGGACTGGACGTTATGTTCACATGACTCCAGTTCTCCGTCAGCTTCACTGGCTTCCCATTGAAGTCCGGGCCCAATTCAAGGTGTTGGTTATGACCTATAAAGCCCTAAACGGCTTGGGTCCTGGTTACCTGAAGGAGCGCTTACATCCTTATATGCCCAGCCGCCCCCTGAGATCGGCGGGAGAGGCCCTTCTCCGGGAGCCCTCCATGGAAGAAGTTAGGAGGGTGGTTACTCGGAGGAGGGCTTTCTCAGCGGTGGCGCCTAAGTTATGGAATGCGCTCCCCAGAGAGGTCCGCCTGGCGCCGTCGTTATTTGTTTTTCGGCGCCAGGCGAAGACCTTTTTATTTAAGCAGTATTTTAAATGTTAATATTATTGAATTTTATTTGGCCAGGGCGGCTTGTTTTATAGTGTATATTTGTATTTTATTGTATATATTTTA